CCATGAAATGGAGAAATGATAACTACTGACCCCAATGTGATTCATGAGATGCAAATCTTCTTGTTACAAAATCATTAGTGATCAGAACAATCACTTTTCCCATCTCTTGTATTAAGAAATTCTCTTTTCTATTAGTAGGTAGTATTATAATTATTAAACCAATGATGATTATATCTGTAATGTGCGAATCTGTGAATTTGACCACTAAATATCAATGAAGTAATTATCAAGAAATTTTTAATTAAGTGTGATTGTTTACTTAAATAAATCTATTTTTTTTAAATGATTTGAAGCTTGACTAAAAAATTTAAAAAAAATAAGTTTTAGTTTACATTACAGAATTAAGTTTATAGGGCTGGTATTAACATTCTCATAGTGATCATTCAAAGGATGATATTAATTAATCTTATACTATCTTTAATAGCCTTAATTAAATTTATCTCTATTTTTAATATTTTTATTACTTTTTTAATTATTTAAATATAAAAAATTTTCTTAAATTTGCTTCAACATTTTGGTCGAACCTTTAAATAGTTTTTTCACTTCAATAGTTTTCAAGAAAATACTTCCGTTTCTTTTAAGAGGTTTCCTCATTAGATTAATTAAATATTTTATAAAAATAATTCATTTTTATTTTTAAAACATTTTAAATTAATTTTAATATTTTCCTTTAATTTTTTTTATTTTGGAAATAAAATGAAAATCTTTGACATTCTAATTTTTTAAATTGTTTACTCACATAAAAAATTTTAAAAAAATTTCACGCTCACAAATTTCTTAAAGTTTCATAATCAGTCAATTCTTAAAGTTTCATAATCAGTCAAATTCCCCACTTATTCCAAAATTTATTAAGCATTATGTGATAAAATGCATGTACAATTATCAATTACATTCTCAACTCTTTTATCCCTTTTTTATTTTAACCATTAGTTTTTTATCAATTTAATTTTTTTCATTTTTATTTTTAGAAATAAATGAAAATTCTTTTGTTGATTACTTTTCTATCAAATTAATTTTTTTCATTTTTTTATAGAAATAAATGAAAATTTGTAATATTGAAATAATTTTCTAAATTCTCCAAAACTTCAATGAAATTTAGAAAAATTCTCATTTAGAAATTTTTTAGAAAATTGCACACTTTTGAATTTCTTAAAATTTCATCCTTGGATTAAATGGTGTATTTACAATTGTCTATCGTCGTATATTTTTTATGAAATAGAAATTGTGTGAAGACATACAGACAATTATTACATTGAGGTTTGGTTTTTTTGAAGAACTTTAAATTTTTATTTATTTTAGTTTATTTTTTAATGCTCCTTTAAACAAAGGTGTGAGTGATGTGGGTTTCACCTTAAGTACTCTTCTTAGTGTTGAAAACTAAGATTGATTATGAGTCATTAATCAATTTATTTATATTTCAAGAATCGATACTGATTTCAATATCACAGTCGTGTTTATCAAAAAGCTTAGTTTGAAAATAGTAAACAAGATATTAGAAGAATCAAGGCTCTAAACCTTGTTAGGGATAAACCTAGCATTTACTTATCCATTTCAAACCAACATCCTGACTTGCTTATGGATTAAAGAGCATGCCTTTCCTTTTTATTCTTGATGACAAGCAATTTGTATAAAGAAGTTATATGTTTCGTGCAGTCACGCATGCATCTAATGCATGCATCTAGAAAAAAACATGTGGGTTGACAACCTTGAGTTTTGTATCAATCATTAAATAATGCAAACAATGTGTTATCGAACAATTGTATTAAATTAAGTAGTTCATCCCATTATATTACAAAGACAATAAACACTAACTAAAGAAACATGTAATGTGATCTAGTATAAATGACATACTTAGATGATAGTACAAGAATATGCCTCGAGGGCATATTTAGAACATTCCATTTTATACCTAATCTATATGATAAGATTTTACATCACATGCTAGACATGAGTTTACATTGTAAAAATTTTCACTGCCTATAACCAAAAAAAAAAAATCCTAATTATAACTAAATGGTATGCATTATGCATTCCTAAGAGTACATGATATTTGATCATGGAGGATATGTCACTTGCACATAATTTAATGAGAAGTCTAAGATGTCTAAAGATTTTACGAATTATACCTGCGCAGATTGTCCTAATACAAGATCCAATAAGACAACTATAGGTCTGAGCTTGTGAGTTGGGTTTAGTGTAGCTGTGTTTTATCTTGATTAGAACTTTTCGGGTTAAGACCAAGCTTTAGCTAGATCAATCCCTTTGAAAGAATTTTAGATTGGCAAGAACTCTTCGAACAAAATTTGGGTGTTGGGACCCTTTTAGAGCACTTTGGTGAAACAATAACTTCTAAGGTTAAGTTTTGGTTGAACTTAAACTCTTTGAGTAGAGTTTTGATTTGATTGGACTTTTTGGACAGAGTTTTGGTTGGATTTGGAAAGATGATATGGTTGAGATGACGTGGTTGGATGATATGCCTAGTGATGTGGCAAGTGATGTGGATTTAGGTTCTTCAAGGTTTTCATGAAAAGTTAGATAAAGGTTTGTAATAAGTTGGAAGCTTTGAGTGGGGTTTTAGGGTACTTCGGTGGTTATGGATGGATAAGGGAGGTGTTTTGGACGTTCGAAATGGGAGAGATGATGAGATTTCCTCTAGATTTAAAGAAAAATTTTGGAGAAGGTTTAGAATTGAGTTTGTTAAAGAGGGACAAGAGAATTGCTTGAGGTGTGTTGAATGAAAATTTGGAGGCTTTTAGGCTTAGAATTCATTTGGGAAATAAGTTATGCAGGAATTTATATTTGAACAATTGCAAACAAAATTAAGAGAACTAATGATTTATTGCCTATAACATTAAAATGCAAACTTTAAAAAATATGTAATGTTTCTACAAATTGAATGTTTGAGATGACAATCCACATCCTCAAATTTCATAATGGAAATTTAATCTATATCAAAGCATATTTTCCATTGTTCTATAAGTTCTTTGAGTGAAGGGGCAACTATTGATATGTGCTTAAATCTTTTCTTTCAATTGGTTGTATCTCATATGATAATTGCATTTATTATTTGGAACACAACTCTCTACTGATGGATTTAGAGTTATTTTCAAAGGCATAGGGTAATGTACTGATGTTTTGCTAGTAAAGGCAAAAGATCAGGAATTAGAATTGAAAATTTTTCTTGATTGTTTCTTGGTCATCTTTAGTTACTCATTGGTTGGATAATAGATTAAGAGACAAGAGTAAGTGGAATTGTTTGAAGGCAAAGGTTTGCTTGAAAGGTTAATTGTGGGGATTGGTTAATAAAGATAAGGCCTTTGAAAGAAGTTATATATCCTTTGAAAGAAGTTATATATGGTTAGATAGTAAAATTAGTTCATCTGATAAGAATGGTGTAGAGTAAAGCCTACTACCCATTGCCCTTCATAAATTATTGATTGAGCATCTCTTTCTTTTTAGATGCACCACCTTTTTTTTCCCTCATCTGTTTCAAGTTTTTACACATAATCTCTGTGTTTTTGCAGGTCAAAAGCCATGTCCGTCGTTGAAGCTGCTTTATCTGTGTCCTTTGAAGGGTTGTTTAGTAAGTTGGCCTCTTCTGAGTTTCTCAACTTTGTAACTGAGAAGGAAGTTTGCGAGGAACTCAAGAAGTGGGAAAAGACTTTGCGCAATATTCATGCAGTGCTAGATGATGCAGAGAAGGACCGGCATGTGAAAAGTTGGTTGGTCCAGCTTCAAGACTTGGCATACGATGCGGATGACATATTGGATGAGTTTGCTACTGAAGCTTTGCGACTCAAGTTTAAAGAGGGAACATCAAGATCGCAGCGCCAGTAAGGTACAAAAAGCTTGTTCATACTTGCGTTTACCAGGTTCAGCAGTCATTTATCATTTAATAAGGAAATGATGTCCAAGATAAAAGAAATCACTGCTAGATTTTCAAAAATTTAGAAGCACAAAAAAGTGTCTTGGCTTTGACTAAAGTGGTGGTGGAGGCCAAAAGAGCATTGGAATGGCGATAACCACTTGCTTGGTGAATGAAACTCAAATCTGCGGTCGGGAAAAAGACAAGGAAGCAATCCTTGAATTGATTTCTGGGAGTGATAATAGCAATAATTTTGGAGCTTCTGTGATTCCCATCGTTGGCATGGGAGGGATTGGCAAAACAACGCTTGCTCAGCTTGTCTACAATGATAGTCGTGTAGATAATCGTTTTGATCTTAAAGCATGGGTCTGTGTTTCTGAAGACTTTAAGATGGAGGAGATAACGAAATCAATTTTTGCGATCTGTTAGTTCTGAATCTTCTTAATGCTGAAGATCATTGAATAAGCTTCAAACAGAATTGAAGAAGAAGCTGGTGGAGAAAAACTACTTCTGATTTTGGATGATTTTTGCATCAAAACTATGATGATTGGAGTCGTCTAATATCCCCTTTGGCGTAGGAACTACTATTGTTGTGACAACACGTGATAAAACTGTTTCATCAATGGTGGTACTATCCCAGATTACAAGCTGCCAACGTTGTCAGATGATGATTGCATTTCTATATTAACTCAGCATGCATTAGAGCAAAAGATTTTAGTGGGCATCCAACTTAGGAGAATTTGTTGTACAGATTGCGAAAGGTGCAAGGGTTTGCCCCTTGGCAGCTAAGACCATTGGAGGCCTTTTGCGCAATAAGGTGGACATTGGTAAATGGGAAGAGATACTAAAAAGTGAGATTTGGAATTTACCAGAAGAGAGGAGTAACATATTTCCAGCTTTACGATTAAGCTATCATCATCTTCCTGCAGATCTAAAGCGATGTTTTGCTTACTGTGCCATACTCCCCAAAGACTATGAATTTACCGAGGAAGAAATAGTCTTGTTATGGATGGCAGAAGGCTTTCTGCGAGTGGAAGCTACAAAGCAAAATGAAGATTTGGGTCATGAGTACTTTCAAGAACTTGTACAAGGGTCATTTTTTGAAATATCCAACAAGGATGAGTCTCGATATATGATGCATGATCTGATTAATGATTTGGCTCAATCAGTTGCCAAAGATATATGCTTCAGAGTGAAGGGTGACAAGGCATTGAACGTTTCCAGTCATGCTCGCCATTCATCTTACATTGGAGGTAGGAAAGACAGAATTAAAAAGTTCCAAGTCTTTTACGGAAAGAAGGGTTTAAGAACCTTCCTACCGCTGAAGATGCCTCAAGGGTGGAGGTATATCTCTAATCAAGTTCTCAGTGAGTTGTTGCCAGAATTTAAATACTTAAGGGTGTTTTCTTTACAAGGGTGCTACCTGACGGAGT